GTCTACTTAAATAATTTCGAACCTTTTTGAGTCTTCCTAGCATAGTTACCTTACTACGTATTACACAATTTATTTTTCGCCTATTTAAAATTATTGAATCTTTTATCTTGAAAAGACAGACACCACGTCCCTTTGAAATTGTGAGTATCATGAATAGCGACAACAAAAGCTAATGCAAACACCTGCAATTGTGGATATTTTACTGCATTGTGGATAGCGCGATTTTAAGCGGTGGGGCGTGTGAGAATATAAAAGTACCCTAAAGATCATAAAGCGAAGCGTGATGAAGAGTGGAAGCTAAGTTTCTATCTAAAAAAAAGGTGGAACCCCAATTTTAAAAACCCCCATCATCTCTCCCCTGAAACATCGTGAGGGAAGTAAATCGCGAGATGTGTCCCACCAGGCCAAGGAACAAGAGCTTGCCTGTACACTGATTTCCATAAATAGTCCAATTTCTTATATAAAGAATCGAACCCTCATACTGCGACTGCCAGCAAAATTGAAACTACTTTACTCCTATCTTTTGCACCACTGAGTTATGCCCCGAGAGACAGCTAAATTTCTATCTAGGTTAGTCTAGGCGAGGTTTAAGTGTAAATAAATTGTAAAAAAAGCGCTTTCTTATTTTAATATTATTTTAAATTTTTAAATCAATCTAAAATTTATTTAACAATTAACGAAAAAAGTATTAAAAAGCGAAAAAATAAAAATAAGATAAAAAAACCTATTCTCGGTGAAATTGTGGGAGTTTAATTGTTTAATAACTCGATTTCTGAACTACGTATGGAAACATGAATTTCATTTCGAAACTATACTTTTTATTACTTAAAAAAAAAAAATTTTTTTTTAAGCAGACCTATACATTAACATACTCTGTCTGTGTGTATGCGCAAGATAAATTTTGACATGTACCCAAAAAATCTGAGAATTTCTAACCTAGTGACAGAGTTAAACTTTGATTGAACTTGTATGATGTATCGTTCCTAACTTTTTAGGGGACAAAACCTATGTCCCAACAAAATAATCTTGAAATGCTATAGTAAAAGGTATCGTTCCTAACTTTTTAGGGGACAAAACCTATGTCCCAACAAAATAATCTTGAAATGCTATAGTAAAAGGATTATTCCATCACGCTTGAACCAATTGGATTATATGGTATTTCTTTGTTCGGTGTCTTTTGAGTCATAAGCGAGCGTATTACACTTGTCAATCGTATATACACAACCAAACGAATCAGGGTCCCTCAACTGTCAAATTACATAAATTCTTTAAGATCAAATCTGTTTTCGAAAAAACATTTTGCTGAACGACCCAAATGTTTCGAAATCCAGTAGTGAACAATTTTCCAAGAAAATCCAAGCAAGAAACCCATCCGAGTCATGCCTATGTTACATTCTTGGCTGGGGATGGCGATTATGTGAAAGGGGTGGTGGGGTTGGCTAAGGGTTTGAGGAAAGTAAAGACTGCTTACCCACTTGTGGTGGCGGTTCTGCATGATGTGCCGGAGGAGCACCGCCGCATGCTGGTGGAGCAAGGTTGTTTGGTCCGTGAGATTGAGACTGTTTACCCCCCTGAGAAAGAGACTGACTCGCAGTTTGCTTGGGCGTATTATGCTGTCAACTACTCCAAACTTAGCCTCTGGAATGTTAGCTTTTATGCCTTCTTTCTTTAATTTGTATTTTGATTTTTTTGTTAGGATTTTTAATTAAAGATGGGCTTGTATGTGTAAATAATTGTGTGTTAAATTATAGGCTATCGAATTCGGTCGAACTCGATTAAAGTGATTTAATAAGATTTCGATTTTGGGTTTTAATGTATCCAATTAAAGTATGAGTTTACATATGTGTAGAGACTGGGCCCAAGTCCTAATTCTATGATGGGTCGAATTAGGTCAAAGGGCATCTCCATATAAATAGGTTATGGTCCCCAGATCACACGCAACGAAACGAATTATTCATTCTCTACTGCATCCCATCACAGAGAGGAAAAGGAGACTGCGTGTAGATTTGGAAGATCATACCGCGAAATCCATATTGCATTAACCATGTCAGATTCAGATATGCTTCCTCTTTAATTCTTATATTTCTCGATAATTTAACATGAAAGATCCAGTAATTTAAAGCATTACATTATCCAACAAGTGGTATCAGAGCCTCTTCATGTTGAATCATTGAGAATCAAAGGTTTTAGTTTGGTTCTTGCAATATATTTTGAAATTTTCAGATTTAACAATTTTTTGGTTATATGTTTTGTTAAATTTGAAAATTTTTGCGGTATAATTTTATTATTTTCGTATGGCTTTATTCAGTTTAAGAAAATTCAGATTTGGAATTCAGATTTAAAAAAAAAATATTCGGCACAACCGGCAACTGCCGGCGGTGGCAGCGCGAAGCTGCTGCAGGCTGCAGCGCCGGGCGTGGCCAAGAAGAAAGGTGCGCCGGCCAATTTGTAAGGGGCGGTGCCGGCGCATAAGGAAAGAAAGAGAAGAAATTTTTTCAGTTTTTTTTTTAATTTTGGGGGCGGGGGCCTCTCCTGTAAATTAGATGAATTGAGGTCCTTAGTTGCAATTAGGGTTAGGGTTATAAAATTAAATTTTCAGTCCCTAACCTTTAAGTTATATTGAGATTTGGGCCTTTAAGTTTCGAATTTAATAATTCAGTCCTTAAGGTTTTAAAATTAATTAATTCGAGCCATTAAAGTTCTGAATTTATAATTAAAGTCCTCAAAATTAAATTATTAATTCAAATTGGCCCCCTAAGTTCATAATTAATTCAAATTGACCCCTAAAGTTTCGAATTTTTAAAATTTGATCCCTAAAGTTTTGAATTGGTCAATTTTGACCCCTAAAGTTTAAAAATTTGTTCTAATTGATCCTCTAAAGTATTGAAATTCAGTACCTAAGGTTTTAAAATTAATTAATTCGGGTCATTAAAGTTCTGAATTTATAATTAAAGTCCTCAAAATTAAATTATTAATTCAAATTGGCCCCCTAAGTTCATAATTAATTCAAATTGACCCCTAATGTTTCAAATTTTTAAAATTTGATCCCTTAAGTTTTGAATTGGTCAATTTTGGCCCCTAAAGTTTTAAAATTTGTTTTAATTGATCCTCTAAAGTTTTCTACTCTTTTAAGAGATATAATATTCGAAAATTAGTTAATTGAAGCAACATGTTGCCAAAGCAACCTCTCTTGTGAAAATTGACTAACTTAGAATGTTAAAAAGTGTTTGTGCACGTGTTATTCATGGGAATATTGGTTGGCCCAAAGGAAGGTCAATATTTAGCCGAATACACGTGCACCTGTGGTGATAAACGTGTGACGATTATTTGGTTTAATGTATGATCAATAAATCGGTCCAAAAAAAGGTTTATTGATTGACACGTTGTTTTATCGTCAATGTTTGATCACTACGCCAAGAGTACCGCTTACAAGTCAATATCTCTGTCCAAAGACTGGATATTGATGTTGTACTTGGTATCTTGTGATGGGCCCTACCACTATTTGAGATTATTATTATTATTTGCATATTAAAGGTATTCATGTGAGCTATTCATAATAAATGTTCTCTAATTCAGTTTCAGGTTCTGCTGCTAATATCTCTGCTAGCATCAATTCAATTCCAATGTTAAATGGCACAAACTTCAGGGCATGGTAAGAGAACGTTATGTGTTCTCGGAGTCATGGACCTAGACCTTGCTTTACGGGTCGATCAACCTGCAACACTTACTGATAAGAGTACCTCTGATGAGAAGAGGGAGATGGAAAAGTAGGAACGATCAAACCGCATAAGCTTAATGGTCATGAAGCGTACTATTCCAAAAGCATTCCGGGGCACTATGTCCGATAAGGTGACTACGGCTAAGGGTTTCCTTGAGGACCTTGAGAAGAGGTTTGCCAAGAAT